AAACACCAATATATCCTGCAAACTATTCGAGAGTCTGGTAGGATTTTTTTTTACCAGGTCTTTCAGAATATTATTTTCACCCCCTCACCACACAATTCTGCAGAATGCCATATACTACAACAAAGGGAATGAGGTCTTTGAAGACAATATGCAAGCAGTCATCATTTCCCCTAGATTTAAAGGTAATTATCAAATATTTGGATTACCCAGATAGCGGATGAAGTATTTCAGCTCTTTGGATATTTGTCATTTGCATCCTGATCACATGCCAGGTGTCTTCAATGTCACATTCATTAAATCCCATATTCTGCCTTTCTAGCAGAGTCCTGAACAATGGGTGATGTGGAACTGCACTCTGGCAGGAGTAGTTTCCAGGCAGCTACTGTTCAAGCCCTGCTTGGTCAGCATTTATGGGGAATGGCAAGTCCTCAGTCCCCCCCATTTTTAGGGACGGTGGTTAGCATATGTTTTCAGGATCACAGAACTTTTTAGGCTAAAGAGAACCATTTTTGCTAAAGAGAGAAGCTGCAGGCAAGAGCAGACATTTTATATTCTGTCTTCGTTTTTTGCACTGGTGCAAGGCTGGCCTGTAGAGGATGTGTGATGTCTGGATTGAGAACTTTTTATTTAATATCATACTTTCCCATAGGGGGGAAAAAGAAACCAATGAAGGACTGAAAGACCCAAGTCATCCAGCCTAAATATCTGGGGCTTTCTGATCTGCTAGTCCCCTGGAGTGCAGAGCTAGCGTTTTGTTCTTAGGATAGTACCGCGACTATCCTCTGTAGAAAGTCACCACATCTCTTCTACTCTTCAGGACTTCTGTGTCTCTCTCTGACAAATGCAGCTCTCTCAGGAGTCATGCCTTTATTTGCTGTGTCTACAGCGTGGGACCCAGCTGCTCTGTGGTGGGCCATGGTGGACAGTGAGATCAGGCACCTTTTGGAGCAATCCGCTTGCCCATGCCTCTGCTTTTGCTTCCACAAGAAGCCAGGGTACATAAAAGAACAACACAAACCCAACTTCTGTCCCACCTTACAGCCAGGACATGGCTAAGGTATGCATCCATGTGCGAAAACTGCCATGTATGACTCTCCACAGCCATCAGCTCCATGTCAGTGGTGGTGTTGGAGATCTGTCTGTGGAAATGAATAGTCCGTGTGAGAAAATTGTTATTTGCCATCCTCTCTTTTATCCACCAAGTTCTCCTGAAAGTTTTCCAGAAGGACTCTCTCTCTGTCTTTCCCTCTGTGGTTCAAAAGCAGGGAGCCCCGAATCAAAATGCTGGTCCCAAGGAGTGTCTGCAGAATCATAGGGCTTATCAAGCCCGCAAGGGAAATTCATGTATTTTCATCATCTGCTGATGGATGAAAGTGTCATTTGTGGGGAAAAGCTCCAAACTGGCAATGGTGAGAGCATCACACAGAATGGTTGCGTTCATGCTGAGCAGCTCTGGAGATGTCATCATCAAATTGGGCCTCCATGTTCTCCGATACCTGACATAATTTGTGAATAATGAATAGGGCCAGGTCCCTAATGATCTCCAGGTGTGATTTAACCTGGATTAAGCCTTCCACATGCTGTATTTAGTTCTTGCAAGGTCGTTTTGCTTCTAATAAGTACTGGTTTGCACATGCTCAGCTGTGTTCTTGTCCTTTAATGCAGTAACTGACAGATGGTAACAAAATATTCCTTTTATAATGAAACCCGCTGAAGGAGACTGCTTAGGGCCTCAGAAAATACAATTTGCCAAATAAAGGATGGTCTCCAGGAAAGAAAGGAAATACTGTAATGTAGTATATATTAAATAATTTTCCTCAGGCATCTGGTGATCAGTAGCTTTTTCTCATGTCAGAGAGGTGACCCAATAACTTGTTTCCAATTAGTTATTCCCTCATTCACCTTTGTACTCTTAAAAGTCTTGTTTCTGTGGGTTGGCATAAGTAGTGCCTCTAAAAATGTGCAAATGAACCGCATGAGGATTTGTTGTAGAGGCTTCATAGGTACCAGATTTGTATCTGCAGTGTGTAGTCAGATACTTAAGGTTTTCACTTACACTATAATTAGCCTGGTTTCTGGGTGAATTTCACACTCATTTTTTAGACACAATTATGCCCATTTCTCTTAAATGACTATTAATTCCTAGCAGCATTGCTACTGAATCCTTTATGTGACCATGGGCACCCCGGATTTTCACATGGCCTGTGCAAGCTTATTTTGGCAGCTGAGTACATCAGAGTTGTCTAATTTACTATCTTCTGTGAGGCGGGCAGTTTTGGGTGGCAGAAACCCCTCCTTTCCAAACCCCCAAGAACCTGCAACCTTCTTCTAAAGCTAGTCGTTTGCTGAGTAGCTATTTTTGCCACTCTTAGTTTCCTCAGGCTCGCCCGTAACCAGTTTTTTCCTCTTTTATCCTCTGTACCAACACACAGTTAAGGAAGACTTGATGTGACTTCCTTTAGCATCCATTTACACTGTCCTATAAATCATACAAAATGTTCTGCACAGGCTCAAATCTAGGCATTAAATGAGAATCCATCTGTTCGTTGCTCCCAATGGGAATATAGTTTCTTTCTCTGCATCACTGCTTGACAAAACTTCTAATCCCATCTGAAACTGCTAGTGTGTTGTGTTTGGGGCCGTTATATCAAATACACATCTCTCTGCTCTCTCCTTCCCCTCTCAGGAATTGTTATTTTTAGACTGCTTTTCTCTCTCTGATGGAGTCAAAAGTTACATCTTAACCTATACAAGCTCTGGTGGCATATGCTGCTCTGCTCTTCTGCTGCAGTATCATGAAATCTGTCATCCAGCTCTTTCTTCGGATCTGTAACCCCCTTGTCATTACTGCCCTTATGGAGAAATTCATGTGAACACGTCTCTTATTTCTGCTTCTTGCCTGGCTTTCCTTTCACTGTTCTTAGATGTCATGGCCGGCAGCAGATGAGTATTTGCATTAGCCTTTGGCTCTATCAGGAGGGGAATCAACACTACTGGACAACTTAGAGCATACTCCTGCTGCTATAATGTGCCCTGTGCATTACAACACTACAGGAGTGTTAGCGTCAAGGTGATGTAGCTGCCAGAGCACTCAGGCACACCATTATTTTAAGAAGGGATCACTGCAACTCTTGAACTGCAGATTCCCTCCTACCTGTAGGTGTCTAAATCTACACTATAAGTTTCTCTTTGCAGCCATTGAAGAATATAAAATAGGCAGCTCTAAGATCCAATTGATTTCAACCTAAAGTAAATAACTAAAATATGTGACTAAAGAGGTATTTCATTTCTACTGACTAAAAAGGCAGCAAAGGCTGACTAGCTTACATGTACACAACTACACATAGATCTCTGTCCAGGAGACATGCCTCAGTTGGCCACTACAACTGCAGCAAACCACAGGTGACTCAGTGCATCTCACTCCTCCGTCACTGTGGGCTAAAGTCTGTCAGAGCCCCTTGTTGCTGGGGGCTAAGGATACACATATGCGTGTATGTCACTCAAATGCACATACAGTTTCTTAGCTGACACATGCCAACTTGTTCCTCTTCACAACACGAGGGAACGTTTGAACCCATGATGCATCTGAGCCATCGGGCAGCTGCTCCTTGGAGCCAGCCTATAAAGAGCACAAAGTACACTGCTGGGGTTTTTTGTGTTGCTTTTTTTTTTTTTTAATTGAGAATGCGGAAGTGCCTGACTCTTTTTACCAATCTCACAGACTGTGGAGCCTTTAGTCATCTATAAAGAGGCACATTTGACATATTTTGGAGTTTTTGCCTTATTCACACCTTCAGAAATTCCCTAGAGCGACCCAAGCCCAGTGTCTCTCTTTTATTGCCAAAAATGCTTGCCAAGAATTTTGGAGCAAGGCACCACCCCAGTGCATGTTCTAGATTCACATTACACTGAATAGTACAAATTTGCTTGCATTTAAGGCTGCCCAGTCCCATGCAACCTCCAGCTGCTTACCTTGACTCCCCCAACCAGAACAAGAGCACCATTCCTGCACAGTCCCACGTCACACCACCATATTTCCAGCCCCATGCTCTCTGCCTCCAAGGTTTTGCATGAAACTGCTGAGCATTTCACAAAGCAGATGCAGCAGCGTGAGTCACTGCTTCACCAAGGAATGAGTTACTGCATATCAGTTGCTCCATGGAAACAGCCCGTGTATATATGCTTGAATATTGTGCAATGCACTTTGAGGCCACTTACATGCCTCAGAAATAGAGATAATTTGTTTACTTCACATATGCCCAGGAGAAGAGCAATCTGTGTCACACACTGCCTGGGTACTTCTGATGGAGCATCTAACATGTGATAGCTTGGCTGAGATTTGGATGGTTCAGGCCACCTGGTTGCAGAAAAAGGAGCTCAAACCAGGACCCTTGACTTGTTTGCCCTTAAGGCTGGCTCTCTTTCAGTCCTCAAAACAAGGTAGCTTTATGCAAACCACATTAGGAATGGTCCCTGAAATGTGCTGACCCCCAAAACATGCCTGGGAATTGTTTGGGGCAGGGGCCAACACCCTGCCAAGTACTGGTCAAAGACTATAACAGGGTAGATGACTGTGCTCTAGTAGCTAGAAACATTGCTAGTGACTGTTGGATTTACTCTTATAGCTATAGCTGAATGTTTCCATCCATGTTCCCTAGAGGCGGTCTTTGTTTACAGCTTTAATAGCTAGAAAATGTGAGTTTTCTGACCATCCCTACACTTTATGGCACATCTTTCAAGCTGTTATAATGAAGAAGCACTAGCAACAAAGTTATTACTTACTCCACAAGCAAAATTTCTCGTCTTGGCAGCTCTTGGCATAATGGTACTTCAAAAGGTGTCTTAATATTCTGCAAACAAATCAATTATTTATAATTGTCTTGTCTTTAGATGTGAATTAAAGTAACGATCTTTTTTATAGAGTTGAAAGGAAGCAGACAGGTTTAATTGAAGTAAATGAAATCTACGTGACCACCTGTTGTTTTTTTTAAACTTTATAGGAAATCAACGTATTGACAGTAGCATTGGTCAACCAAGACAGAGAAAAAAATTCAGAAAAACGAAGCCCAGGTCTAAAATCAGAGAAAGAGGCACTATTAATAGGTAAGATAACCCCAAAGAAGATTTCTGAGAACAAAATGCCTTTTAACAAGTTTTTGTTTTGCATATGTGTTTACATGCATCTTTGTGCTAATAAAAGTGAAAAAAGAAGATGTTTTTTAGTTTTCATCTGTATTCATAATGGGTTTTAATAAGAGAAATCCTAAAAACAAGTGAACTTTTCCTTTCTGAAAAATTCTGCAGAGTTTAATGAAAGGATTTCAGGTATGAAGAAAATTGCAGGATCTGCATTTAGACTTGCAGCATGAATGTATGAAGACTTTATTTACATCAAGATTTAGCAGGCTGGAATTGTATAACTTGTTATTTGATTATTAGACAAAATGGTGAAGGAGAAGGGGATGGAAATAATATTAGCAAACTACCAAGCAAAATATATGTATACTGGATGTATTAAGCAAGCCAGATTTATGCTTTTGACATTAGGTGAGGGAATTAGCAATATGAATATTTATAAAGAATACCACAAGGACTATCATATCCTTTACCTAGAGTAAAATCTTTAAAATAAACTCTTAAAGAGTGCCTAAAAGCTAAAGCTTATAGGCAGTGGTAACTGGTACCTAGCATTTAGCCACAGAGGAATGCTGGCTGTACCCAATCTACCCTTGGAGGGAACGTGCCCCATTTATATCCGTGCATGCTTTGCATTTGGTTTCAGTGGGGCAGGTTTTCATGGACCCTAAAGGCCCACAGTCCAAAGTGCTCCCTATGGCATGGTTGCCATTCACAGGAATGCTGACCTGAAAAATCAGGTTTCATTTCTTTGATTTGGCCTTTTTACAGAATCAGCGGTACCCTGGTAGGTGATAGTTCCAAAACTACTTTAATTTGTTTAAATGCAACTCATTTGCATCTGCTAAGCACCAGGAAAGTTGCTGGTTTATTGCTGGGGCACGGATTCAGACAGTTCAGATGAAAAAGGTCATTTAAAAGTGAAGAATGTATTTAAATGTTTAAAGGGCTTAGTACACAAACTTCCTGTGACTGGTGAGAGGTGGAACAGTGGGATGTACAAAAATGTAAGAATCGATTTAATTTTGCTTGTTATAATAAAATTTGGAACTTTTAATTGCAATGGACAGTATTTGACCTGTTGAAAGATAACTTCTGTGAGAAGGGTAGCAAGGATGGAATTTTAAGAACAGACTAATGAAATTTTTTTTTCTAGGTCACTCATTTGACTGTAACAAGTGGTGGCAGTGTCCCAAAGTGGGTCCCATCCACCAGCTGTCCAGTGGCCCACTCAGATAGACAGTATAATCTCAGTCCAGATATTACTGGTCATAATATCCCCACAACTGGCTCATTGTTACAGTTCAAAGGCAAAAGATTTCTCAAGATGGATTTCATGTTATCTTTTCCTCTGAGGCATGTTCAGGTGTGGCAGGGAAAAACGGGCCTTACCTCCATCCATTCACTAAGTTTGTCTATGTTTTATAAAATTCAATACTGTCTTAAAGGAAAAGAGCATAAAAGAAAAAAAAATACTAAAAAGTTATCATGGAACTCCAGTCAATAACTACAAAATATTTTCAAATGACTTTTTATTTACATCATATGAAAGACCTAGCTTTGAACATCCTGAACTGAAAAGCCTTGGGAACACACATAACAAACACAAAGCCGTTGGTAAAACATGATCTGAATACAAATTGGATTTCCAGTCAACCCATCCAAGTGTGGTGGTCTTGGCTTTTGCTTCAAGAGCTCTTGTGTGTGTGCTTACGGTCACGCACAGCACAAAAAAGGCAACTGCAGCTAGGACTCGCCATAGTATAAAATTAAATACATGCCCCTCCCTTTGCAGAATCAGAAGTTTGTAAATGGTATTGGAAAAATGAGGGAGGAAAAAAGGTGTTCTTTGCAAAGCCAGTCTAAAATGAGTTAAATTTTACTTATCATTTTCAACCATGGCCAGTATTTGGGGAAAAATGAAATCCAAGATTATCCTAATTCATTCAGCATCAAGAAAGCAGTATGGCCTGCAGTACACAAGATACAGTGACCCATTTTTGTCATTTGTAAGCATTTTTAATCCTGGTGTTTATGCTTTAAATATAAGGAACTTCCCCTAGGGTGGTTCAGCTAAGAAACCCATCCAAACAGAGTTGAAAATATTTGCTCTGATTCTTACAGTTCAACTCTTCCCAAACAGTAAGTAACACACATGCATTTTGTATTTTCACTGTTTGTTTAGAAGAGGAGAAATTGGATAGTGCTTTTAATAGTAACTCTGGTGCCACAAATCTTGTTTTCTCTAGTCATCGTTATTATGCTGTCACTTGATTTTCACTGCAGAAAAAATCTCTAGACTTAGATCCTGACTCCTCCTAAGCCACTTTTATTCCCATACCTTTTACAACGATCCTGCAAGTAACAATGAAGATAGACAGAACTGGCTCTCTTTTAAGAGAAAGTAAATAAGTAAATATGTCATAAAGGATTTGTGTTTTCTTCAGCAGCAGTTAGGGGTAATACGGATTGAACACTTTTCATAACCAGCATCAGCATAATTACGAGAAAAAATTGAGGGAGTGAGGTTTCTGACACAATTATGTGAAACGTTTTCACAACAGAGCATCCTGTGAAGGGGAAAAAAGCAATAATTTTACCATTACAATATCCACAATTTTATATTGGTAAATCAAGCATAAAATTGGTAGTTGAAATGCTTCCAGCAAGTCTTTGTTTAGAAATTCCTTTATTCATCAGTATATTATCTTGGTCACTTACTTGCTAACTGCTGTCATTCCTGAAGATGAGCTATTGTGTTTACCATGTTATTATGACTGTATTAAAAATGTGCCATTTTGTTATGTTTATTGGGTTGTGTAAGAAAAATAAGAATCATAATTCATACTGAAAAACCTGCAAGAACAGACTATTCAGAATTATTTTGCTTATTTTAATGATATATTGCCTGAGGTAATTTCAATACTTTGTGTGCATTTGTTTTTAACACAGGTATCATATCCACATTTCTTCATGTCCACCCTTTTGGAGCCAATATAGAATATCTTTGGTCTTATATGCAGCAGTTGGACTCTAGGGTAAAAAAATTTAATCAAAATCTGTTTTCTCTATAGAAATATTGTATTATTCTTTACTGCAGGTTAAACTCTTTGTGCGTTTCCATTAGAAAGGTAATGGGATATGGGGCTTGGGGGTTTGCAGTCTTTATTCATTCGCAAATTACAGTGCACGTGCTTGTGTTGAGGTCTTTGCCTCGCGCTGCTCAGCTATTCTTTGTGGCAAAGAAGAGCAGAGCTTTAAATGGCAAAGACTAGCAACTGATTTTATGATACATGATCCTGAAATACAGCTGAGGAGAAAGAAAGCAGAACAAGAGGCAGGTGTAGCCATGGCCATCAAACTATGCAGAGTTTTAGGAGATGATTCCTTATTCTTCTAAAAGTTGTTAGCCGTGGGTCATACTGAACATGAACTTTCATGAATCCATGAATGGACCATGAAGTGTACCCTTCTTCTCCATATGGAAGCGGAGAGGGCCTCATAAAGGAATTGGCTGACCCTATTGCTAAATTCAGAGAAGGTGTGGCCAATGCAAAAGTAAGGCCAATGCTTGTAGGGTAAGATTCTTTGACTTGCTTTTAAATCCCTACTGTATGAATGAGATGAAATCAAGCCCCAAAAGGGCCTATTCCTCTCCACTGAGTATTAAGCAAGTCAAGGGTGAGAAGCGCAGCTGTGAAATAGCCACCTTTGATCAGGTGAATGCTACTCTAAGTGCTAAACAATGGCCTGCAGGATGCTAGACTGCATGAGGTACTTAGCACATGCAGGGGTCACCCTGCAGTTAGCCAAAGCTCTGATCCACGTCTGCCAATACTTCCTCTGGACATGGGGATGATGGTGCTTGCCTAGATCTTCTTGCAACACGGAGTCAGGATGTAGCTATGGTGTGCACCTAGACTCAGAATGTGAGCGGCACTCCTTGTGTGGCAGTCGTTAGACACAACTCCTTTGATCCTGCTAATATTTTGTTCCTGAACACTCTCTCCAGCCATGCCACTCATAGCCAAGATCACCTTCCAGCTGCTTTGATGGGCTTCTTCATGCCTCTGGAGGATCCTTCCTCTGTTTCTATGAAAAAGTGTATAGTTAAGCAGAGGAGATCCTGAGCTAGAAGCCCACTGGAAATAAGACAGGTTGCATGGATGAGTGAGGAAGGATGATGAAGTTCTTAGGCACTAGCTTCAGGCCACAGCAGCTCACATTTGCTAGTGCTTTACAGTCCACTGCTACCCACAATGAAAAGTGAGTAAGGGATGAGGATGGTAGAAAGAGGTGAGAAACTGGTGAATTTCAATTTTTTTTTTTTTAAATCTGATTTTATCAAGACCTGATACATCCAGAGCTTCACATCTGCAAGCATTCCTCTTCGGCTTCTCTATTCGCTGCCTCTGCCACATGTACACCTTCATCTTGTCCCCAGTTCCTGCAGCACCCAGTCTGCCCAATCTCATCTTTTAAGTCCTTCCTTAACACACAGCGTTTGGCTAAGTTTCAACTGCTTTTTCCCCTGGCTGACCCCTCCAGCTCTGTATCTCTTGAGTGACAACAGCAATCATCTAAAATACCCGCTCCTTGGGCTCCAGCCCTGCTGCTCATTGCTTCTGCCCACTGAGCTCTTCAACTTTCTTCTCCTTCATTGCTGCGGTCCCTTCTTCTGCATGTCTGTGAGCTCTGTCCTTGAATTTCTACTCACGTGAGTAACGTGTTGGCTTCTGTGAGGCTGCCAGGATCAAACCCTTAACTTGCAAACACAGCCTTCGTGGAAGGAGCATCATCTCCATCTCTCCGAGGTGCCAACATACCAGCCCCTGCAGCTACCACGGGACCTACCTGCTGCATAATAAACACAAGCCGCAAAATTTGACCTCGCTGGTTTATTTTGGAAGTAACTGCTTGTAGCAACAAATTACTTTTTAATAGCGCAATCCAGAGATGCAATCTCAGAGATGAATTTCAATTACTTTCCATGGTTAGCCTGTCATTCCTCACCTGAACAGGAATGATAAGGTCAGCATACTCGTGCGGGCTGAGGGCTCGGTATAGAGCTCAGATACATTACCCAAAGGTAACCAGCTATCCGTTACTGCCATGAGAATACGTAAAAGATGGACCTGATTACTCTGGGGCTTTAGACTGCCTCCAGCACTGATTTTCGGCACCACCTTTAACGAATCATTTAATCTTTCTGCTGCACTAACCTCTTCAGGAAAATAAGAGGTGATAGATGTTTTCTCACCTCCCTTGGGTGGAATGAGGTATAATTAGCATACTGTTTTAAAAAGAAAACTTTTCACCATGGAAGGTTCCTACTAATATGAATAAACAGAAATATCATAATTGCCAGAGAAGCCTATCAAACCATGGAGATACCTGTGGATAACAGGCAGCACCCACAGATTTCTTTACTGTTCCTTTCATGACCACCACTTTAGAAGAAGTAGCAGTAAGATAAAATGGTTCATTTTCCATGACTGTTCATTTCTTGACTTCCCTACTGATTATACAAGAAAGGTTGCTTTTGTGAAAGTGTTTTCTGCAATGAGAGCACCCTTCCCATTAGGAAGGTGACCAGTCATTGAGGTCATTAACCATAAAAACATCCTGAGCAATGCCGAGTCAGGAACTTTACCGCTTAGTTATCTGGGGCTGCTGAACTGGGCCAAACTGGGAGAAGATGGCTCCATGGATAGTCAGCCCTATGTAACAAAAGTATACTGATTAAAAATAAAGTCCCTGTGTTAATTTTTTTGCAAGAGGAAAACTGATGGAGCTGGGAGAAGGATTCAAGAGCTCGTGGGTTGAGAAGGAAGAATAAGGTCCCATTTGCTTCCTCCTCCTCACAAGTATACCTGCAGCTGTAGTTCTTAGATGGATTTCATACCACACTCTGTGGCAGCAGCCCCAACATAGCAGTTGTCATTCTTTTATGGTGCGATGCCACTTACAAAAGCAGAATCATTCCTGCAAGGAATCTACACTTGCTTTGGAGTCTGGAAATTCATGTCAGGCTAAGTTTAAAAAAAATAGTAATGGTTGCTTGTTTTCCTCTGGCCTCGATTCCCTCTCCACCCCCTGCCCCCCCTCTTATTTCTGTTCTTCATATTTCCTCGTTCCAATCTACAGGGCGGCTTTCTCACTTTAATTTTACCTTTATTTCTTTCTCAGATCTCTGCAAATGAGATAGAAATGCTTTTGATGAGACTGCCACGCATGTTTAAACAAGAATTCACTGGTGTAGGAGCAACACTGGAAAAGAGGTGGAAGTTTTGTGCCTTTGAAGGAATTAAAACTATCTGACTGTGACTAGTAATGAAGCTATGCAGAAGAATTCCTAGAGCATGGCAGGGTTATAAAGTATTAAAGTAAGAAATTTGGGTTTGGGCACATAGTAGTATGTTTTCAAAGTTATCCAAGCCTAATTTTAGTTACATTTGTGACGTTCTCTTGTGAGTGGAAATGTAGTTGTGCACCAGTTCCTAAAATAAAATAAAATTTAAAAAAAAAAAGTTTCAAAATGTGACAGATCTGTTTCCTATGAAAACTGAAGAAAGATACCACAGTCATAATGATTTCAAGATACTACATGTCCTACATCTAAGAAAAGCTCATTGAGCAAACAGTTAAGGAGAAAGATTGCCCAGTTACGGTCGCTAAGCTACAGCGATGTATATGTAATATGTAGTAGAACTCATTAAGTTTTGTTATTGAAAGTTCTTTCTGTTTAGTGAGAAAATTGAGTAATTTTACAGTGAGGAAAAGCATACCAAAAGAAAACTTGAAGATGCGTCTGAAGTTATTGTATTTTGTAAATTAAGTTATATGCTGTACCAGGGATTTTTGCCTTATTGAAAGAGGCCTGAAAATGTGATTGGAGTCCTCAAGAATGCTTTATCAAGAATATTATTTTTCTAATGTAACTATTCTCCATTACAAGTTCTTTTAACATGGATTGCATATCAATTTTCATAAACATGTAAATAAGGAGGAAACCAGTGTTACTGTATTGTATTTGGTATGTAACATTCAGGTTTATGCATCAAAATAAATATTCAGTTGCATTACTGTTACAAATTTTATAGCAGATATATTAATTTTTATCAATAAATATGACTTCTACCATATTGTTTGTGCAAGTTTTTCTTCTGATGTTTTTGAATTTTTATCAATCCAGCAAGAGTCTCTTGGCACTTATCTTTCTCCTACCTAAGCTATTAATTGCAGATAACTTGGTTAAATTAATTAGGAATCAAAAAAGAGCTTGCAATATTAGCTAAGATTAAAATAATTACAAATATCAGTGAGAGGAAGTACCAGCGTGGACCTTTGTTTAGCTGAACAGATTTAATTTGTTTTTTCAGACAAGCAGTCAGGTTAAAAATGAACCTTCAGATTTCTCATTTTCAGTGTGGTGTTGGGCAGTCGCGATGCATCCAATTAGTTACTCCTTGTAACTCCCAGCTAATGCTTCTGGCCTTTGGCCAGCCGAGGAAAGGAATAACTCACTTTTGGTGGTGTCCTTTAAGTAGGGACATCGATGTAAATTATCATTTAGGATTTACTGTCAAACACACAGTACTCCAGCACTCCTGTAAAAGCCAGTGAAAGCAGAAGTGTGCGTATCAACCAAGCCAGGAGAGCATGGAAGGAATCGCTCCTCCCAGAGCCCTACTTCAAAGAACTGCATCAGTACAGCATGTAGCATGGTGCTGGATAAGAAACAGCAGCCCCCTCCAAGTCACACCTCTATGTAGGCAGAGGAGCCAGGCACAAGAGAGCTGGCCCTATAAAGTGGGGCACCAACAGCAGGAAATATGGCAAATTGCAACAGATGCAGGGAGTATTCAGATACATGTCAGAGTGATGTTTCGCTCAGGTTCTTCAATAAACAGCAATTAATGTCAAATGCAATTAGTCATGAAGGAACTCTCCTACATGGCTGTTAGTGATTACTGCTTTAGGACCTATTTCTCTTCTGGTATCTACCTGGAATATAGAAATATTAAATGAAATGTTAGTTGTGTACAAAAGGGAAAAAGAAAGAGGCTTAGCAGGTCTATGATTGGAGACAATTCTGCTTTCAGCCAGTACACACAAAAATTTTTTTAAAGAACATACATCTCTATTATGGTTACTACAGAACCTGTGTTAAGATAAGTTAGTTGGGTGAAACTAGTAATTATATGCCAGTTATGTTAATCAAAATTAACTAGTTTAATCCAAATAACAATTCTTTCTTCTCTTGTCATCATACAGATTTATGAATAATTCAGGCAAAAGTGTGTTAGGTCTGACAGCTCTTATTTAAGTACTGTAACATAAATGTGTATGGATGGCACTTAGGCTGGGGAAAAGACATGTGAGAAAACTTTCACCTCAGCTTTCTTCGTGCCATACTTATTCACTATATTCTGTCCTCTCTTTTCTCTTGTGTCCTCCTTTTTTTTCCCTTCAGCTTCTCTCCTCTCCCACAAAACAACTCCAATCCCAGATAGCCACAAAACATCTTAAAACTGACAGGATCTTGTAACCTAGTCACCATATTTGTTCTGCATGTGTTTTCTCTTCCTTTTTCCTTCCTGGGTTTTTCACGTCTGTCTAGATCCTAAGTGCTTTAGGAGAGTGACTTTTTAGTCCTTGTGTATACCAGCTAAAAGGGAACCTCCTTCACTGGCCTTTAGATACCACCATAGAAGATCTAAACTTTAAGTATAAATAGCATGTAGGCATCCTGCAATATTGTAATATATCAGCTGAGACCTTGAAACTCAGGGGGATCCTCATGAGGATTAGGTTGGGCCCCAGAATTGGCTTTAACATTGTGTGCTTGTGGCTTTGGCGGAAACTGGCTTGAAATGCTCAGCTCCATCACTTAGCTGCTGAAATGTCCTTATAATAACGTTGGGGGATCCAGCTAGGGGTCCTGAAGTGATACAATGGGATGAATATCAAGGAAGCCACCTTTGAAAGACATCTAGACTGGACATTAGGAAGCATTTCTTTACCGAGAGGGTGGTCAAACACTGGAACAGGCTTCCTAGAGAGGTGGTCGATGCCCCAAGCCTGTCAGCATTTAGTGGGCATTTAGACAATGCCCTTAATAACATGCTTTAACTTGGTCAGTCCTGAATTGGTCAGGCACTTGGACCAGATGATCGTTATAGGACCCTTCCAACTGAAATAGTCTATAATCTACAGTCTATTCTATCTCTTGCAGTTATGTTACTGATATATGGAGAAGATAGTGATGTTCTGCAAGCCAACGTTAAATTCTGGCAAAGCACCCTTTAGCAGCTTGTCTGAGCAGTAGTGTCAGTCAATCTGATGCCATCGTAGCCCAGAAAGACGTACTCCATATGAAGTGTATCACTGGAGGATGGCTGTAAGCCCCTGGAGCCGTGGCTGTGGGTGATGGTGCTCTTCTTAGCACTGTTGGGGATTGCAGCAAAGCAACTTGTGAAAATGGCGTGAGGTGATGCCAATTAACTATGATAAAAGAAGAAGTCAGTATGGTGGAAAAGACAACTAGTCTTTCTCTATGTCACTTTATCCTGATGACCAGAACAGAGGCTTGGTCAGCTGCAGCAGGAGTCGGCGTACTCTCCCCCAGAAAAAGGAAGATGTTGAGGTGGCCAAGTGGTACTTAGTGAAATGAGGCAGTGCAAGACCTAAAGCAAATTTCTCCAGCTGAGTCAGGTTGAAGGAGGATGCATATTTGGCAAAGACTCAAAGCCATTTACAGTTAGCAGGATCCTCACAACGGTAGTGGGAAAGAAAAGAGGGGAAGGAAAGGCCAAAGAGACACCACATCATCAGGCTAACCACGAGCTCAAGAGGTGAGACTGTGCAATAGCCTGACATGCAACTGCACATCATGGCAGAAAGTTATAGCAGTGTCCCCTCTTCTCATATAGGGACTAGTGGAGCAGGAAAAGATTTGATTTCTAACTGCCCAAACACGCTGAGGGTATTTTTCAGGGAATTGTAAGCTCAATTGGCCTGAACTCCTCCCAGGAATGCTTCTTAGCTCATCCTTGGCTTTGAATTGTCTTGGAGTGGTGGCAGGGTTGACTTCCATCAGTTTAGAGGATCAGCCTCTTACTGCACTGCATTTGATTCCCACTTGAAGGCTTAAGAGATACGCTGTGCAAAACCTCTTGGACAAATGTGCATTTCACCATGCACATTCAAGGGAGATGAGTGTAACCTCTCTGCTAAACTGCATTTTATGCCCACAAGAGATAGCAATGTTTGATGAAGACTGCATTATCCCCATTACTAAAAAGGAAATTTCTAATATCTCCTTGTGCTGTTGCACATAGTGGAGTCTAATTGTTTATTGAAGTGTGCGTGTTTCAGGCTAAACTTGCATGTTCACGACTGCCAGAGCATCACATTCACTTAAGGAACAGCTATACTGAAAGTTAGAGAAAATCCTGTATCAAGCTATGCTACATTTAGCTACAGATCATGTACAGTAAATGCTGTGGAATCTAAAGCTAGAAAATTTGTTGTAAGAGCATTCTGGGTGGTTTGTTTAAGTCAAAATTCTGCTCTTGCAAGCATTGTTTTATTTAAAATCAGAGTGGCTTTGACACTCAGTATGACAAAAATGGTCTGCACTGATGTGAGTTGATTTGGGGAACGAGGTTTGGGGAGAGGAAGAGGGAAAGGAATTGGTTGGTTTGGGAGATAGATTCTTTTTGTGCCTCCAGTAGCGGTCGTCACCAGGTCTGACACAGGACTGATGTCCACTTTGTCCACTTAACAAATGCATCTCAGAGTTCAGCATTTGAAGTGCGAAGCTTTTATCTTCTTTTTCCTGTGAAAGGGTACAAGTTGTCCCCTGACTTGTCACTCTGGTTATCCTGATAAGATCTGCAGCTCTTTTACCCTAACTTTTCCCTCAAAAAGAAAGTAGAAACAGCAGCAAATTCATTCTGGTTCTGTTCTGTAGTCAATCTCCTCTGGCAGCAACTGCTGAGATGATCAGGAAAAAAGAAATCTTCCTACATTTATTGGTATTAAGTGCCTATAAGGCAGGACACGATCTGGAGGAAGCCATTCCTTCTTCCAGAGCACAGTCAGTGTGACTGCTTGGACTGCCGAGGGTGAATCTTTACTTACTGAGTTAAAACTGAATGTTTCAAAAACAAGTAAGTCAACTGAACAAGCAGCCGAATCAGGAAATTATGCTTACAAGCTGCAGATCCTCTGACTGCATAAACCCATTACATTGAATACGTGCAAATCCTAATTTGTAAACAAAATCAAATGGATACGCTCAGGAGTACCTTTGATTAAGTGTTTTGCCTCACACTGGGTAATAAATATTGTGCCTGTTCAGACTTAATGGGCTGACTCCAATGTCATGCTCCCTCTCAATAGGAATATTTGGGGGGCAGCAAGAGGAAAAAAATATGTGTTCCTTTAAACCTAGCAGGGAGCACTCCTGCAATCCTACCACAGCCATATTATAACCATTTGCTCAGACTTCTGGCTGGTAAGTACTTCTTGCCAATTTATGTACTTTTATATACATAACATAGAAGCCTAAAAAAAAAATCATCCACTTGGACTGCTTGTATCTTACCCCTGTCACAGTTAATTCTGTAGTGATCCCAATAGCATATGGTGGATTAAAATACATCTCCCATAAAAGCATCCAACCGTAATCAAAGTTATCAAGCGATGGAAAAGGTATTTTTTTGCTTGATGGTTTGTTAGAAGAGATTGGCATTGTCAAAATTGTGTCCTTACTTCCTAACTTGATTTTTTCTGGCTTCTTCTAGCCAGTTTTGCTTTTCTCTGCAAGATTAAATAATCCTTTAGTATTGCATATTTTCTCCCCGTGAAGATATTGTAGTCTATTTACTTCTCAGTATTCTTTCTCATAAACTAAACAGATTGAGCTTTTAAGTGTTTTGCTATAAAACATTTTTCTTCTCTTCCTCAAATCATTGCATCCTTTTTTTTAATATCCTTTCCAATTTTTCAACACCTGTTTTAAAATGTGCAGAGAAAAGCTGTTACATGAATTAGTTTGATCGACTCGGTGTACAGACATGAAGTCACATCTCTGCTCCCATTCAGCTCTTTGCCTCCTATTCCTATCAGACTAT